TTTATTCAAATTCAATAATTATTTATTAAATTATAATAAAAAATATCAGTCCAAAGACTTTTGCACCGAACTGTATATACAATAAAGACAAGCTATATTGACCTGACTGTGGGTTAATAAAAAAAAAAAATAGATAATGATATTTTAATTTTTTTTTTTTAAAAACTTTCTTGCTATTGGTTAAAAAAATGTCTTATAACTTTTAGACTATTAAAAATCAAGTTTTTATTTGAGAGTAAAAACAAGAAAGATAAAAAATAGAAATAATTCCTAAAGTTTTTTTTATGTTAATTTAAGAAGAATAATAAGATTTTATGAATATAAAAATATAAAAACTTTTTATAGACATTTTTTTTGTATATGATTAAAGAATCAATAGAAAAATAAATATATATAATTAAATATTATTAAAATTTTTAATATTTTTATAATTAATAAAATTAATAAATATAAAATTTTATAATTTTAAATTCAAAAAATTTTCTAATTATAGCATTTTTAAAAATAATTAGATTAAAAGGTTAAAAAACTTTTAGATAAATAATTTTTTATATATAGTTAGAAACTCAATAAAAAATATTTTGAATTAATATACAGTTGCTTTCAAAAGTTTAAGTCCACTTATTATATTTTTATTATAAATTTCAACTTTGATAATTTTTAAATCTTTAATTATACAATTAAAAATCATAAAATTCCTATATATTATATTTTAATATTAGTTTTATTTATTATATTTTTTTTAAAAAAAATTTATATGTAATTTTTAAAGTTTTATTATTGTTAAAAATCTTTTTCCTTTATCAAATTTTTACTCTTAAAAATTTTTGATTGATTGTTATCATAAATCATATAATAATTAAGAAAAAAATAAAGATATTTAACAATAATAAACCTTTAGAATTTATCAATAAAAATTTTTGTAAAAAAAAATAAAAAAAAAAATAGAATAAGTATCAATATAGAATATAAGTAAATTTTATAATTTTTGATTGTAAAATAAATGATTTAAAAATTCTCAAGGTTGAAATTTATAATAAAAATATAATAAGTAGATTCAAACTTTTGAAAGTAACCATAATTGTATTGATAAAAAGAAACTATTTTATTATTTTAATAAATTATATTAAATAAATCAGTTTAGATTATAAAAATATAAATTAATGATTAAATGATTTAAAAGTTATCTAATATATATAAATCAATTTTAGATACAATATATCTTTTTTGAAATTATTTATATATTTATAAAATAAATTTACCAAGTATTTTATATTATTGAAATTAAATTTGTCATATATCTAATAAAAAATATATAGTATAAACATTTAGAAAGGTTTTTCTATACTTTAATTTATAATAACAAACAATTTATTTATTTAAAAGATTTAAAATAAAATAAATAAAAAAATTTTTTTTTAATAATTAAAGCTTAAAGCATATAATCAAAGATCATAGTGGTATAACGACGGGTTAGATATAATCAGATTTAAATAAAAATTTTATAAAAAATGCAAAACTTTAACTTTGTTTTAAGTTCTTGTTCAAGATAATTTAAAATTTAACCTTTGTTTGTTTATTTTAGAGTAATACAGTACATGAAAAAGCTGGGTTTTTTTTTTTTTTGCTCAACAACTTGTGTTTTCATCGAACGAATCGATTAATTTCCCGCCAAAATTTTAACATTTGTCACATCACATGACAATACAACCATTTTCTACGCACGGGATTATTATTGGTGTTTTTAAATGCTGTAGTTTTTATTTACAATAAAAAAAAATATCATTATTTCAACGTCGCTTCCGCTCCGTAATTTTGGTTGGGACGTGCTATAAGTCAGTACTTGTCTGTGAATCCGATCGTAACCTTCGAAAGTCTATAACACATATACAAATCGGTAGCACAGAGCATACGTCAAGCAGCCGAGTGTAAAGTAATTTATAATGGAGGTAAATATTACGATAGATTACAATTCGTGTACATTACCTCGTAATAGTTACTTGGTACGCGGAAATATGTATCCAATTGACGCGTTTACGTTTTTATTGCAACTATTATTAGGGCGTACTGGATTTTTCGCAAGATCTTGACGTTGACAAATTAGATATTGTAGTTAAAACCTTTTATCAAGGAGTCGGTCCGCAAGTCGGTATTACCTAATGCAATTATCCAAAACACTTTATCTTTTAACACGTGGATATGAATATTTACATTAAAATTACTATTTATTCGCTCAGCAACAATTGGCGCAACAAATACTCACTCAATTTCAAGAAAATCCCGATGCATGGTCAAGAGTTGATGCCATTCTAGATAGATCAAAATATTCATACACAAAGGTTTTGCATTTAAGTTCTTATCTGCTGAATTTTATTAAAAATATGATATTAATACTTCGGTCTATACTTGATTAGTACATCGCCCTCCAGATCCTCGAGAAGCTCATACAGACTCGATGGAAAATTCTTCCTTCTGAACAACAAATGGGTAGAACATTTAACTGACGAGTAACCATATTTAAAGGAAAAGGAATGATTGAGGACATTTGATGCTAAAAAATTTTCTTTCTTTCTTTTCTTTTCTTTTTTTTTTTTTTAAGGAATTCGAAATTTCATAGTACACATAATCGTTGAAACGTCTAAAAACGAACAATCACTTAAGAAAGAAAAAACATATTTGAACAAACTTAATTTGATATTAGTACAGGTAGTCTATTTAATCAATTGAGTACACACGAAAGGTTTTGTACGCTCGATCTAATCATCACAACTTATCTAGATTCTCAAACAAGAATGGCCGCATAACTGGCCCCAGTTTATTCCTGAAATAGTGAATACTGGGAGATCCAATTTGAACATTTGCGAAAATAATATGGCGATTCTCAAATTATTGAGGTAAGACGTAGATGTTAATGATGTAATGTGCGTTAAATTACGATTTCTTATTTCCTTTAAAAAATAAAAATTTTTTATTTTGATAGTGAGGAAATATTCGATTATTCAGCAGAACAAATGACACAACTTAAAACAAAGAACCTGAAAACGCAAATGTGTCACGAATTCTCCAAGATATTTGAATTGTGCAATGAAGTCCTAGAAAAAGCTCATCAACCTAGTTTAATCAAAGCGACGTTAGAAACTCTTTTGAGATTTTTAAATTGGATTCCCTTGGGGTACATCTTTGAGACGAATGTCATCGAAAATTTAAGGAATAGGGTGCGTTTCTATTATTCATACTTCACGTAATTTATCAAACATTACCTACGGTACTACAACAATGTAGCTTGATCATAGTTCCTAGAATCGCCAGATTATAGAAATGTAACGTTGAAGTGTCTTACGGAGATTGGAGCATTGAGTGTGAGTCACGATTATGATGAGAAGTTTATTGCTCTTTTCAACATGGTCGTAGCGTCTCTCACATCGATGATACCTCTCTCGGCAGGTATGTTTTTTTGTGCAAACCTTTTTGACATAACTATTTTTAATTATAATTTATTCTAATTATTTGGCAATTTAGATATCGCTTCAATTTACAATAACAGCTCTAATGACGAGCAAGAATTTATTCAAAATCTGGCATTATTTCTGACAAGTTTTTTGGGCGCTCACCTTAAGGTACCAGGATCAGGTCTCGTTCTTATCATGGGAAATTTAAAATCAATGCACAATAGCTCATATACCAGATTAATATCATAGATAATGGAAGCACAACCAGACAATAGTGGTCTTTTGACTGCTCATTATTATCTCCTCAGAATTTCACAAGTTGAAGAGCGTGAAATATTTAAAGTATGCTTGGAATATTGGACCAAACTGGTAAAGTTGCTATCCACTATTTTTAAATTAAGGGTATGTGAAAATCTAATTAATTCCTAATACACTACAGGTTGCAGAATTGTACGAAGAGATACAACAAATTCCCGTTCTTGAGATGCCCACTCTTTCTTTAACCGGCGCCGTATCATCACCTTCCGCTCTTGCTAATATTCCATTAAGAAAGAATATGTATTCAGACATACTGTCAAATTTGAGGGTTATTATGATCGACCGTATGGTAAAACCAGAAGAGGTGCGGATAGTTACAGACAGAAAAAGTTTTACACGATTTGTGGTATCATTTATTTAGATTATGCTAACTTTTTGAATAGGTTTTAGTTGTTGAAAACGAGGAAGGCGAAATTGTTCGCGAATTTATGAAAGATTGTGATACTATTACTTTATACAAAAGCATGCGTGAGTGTCTGGTTTACCTAACTCATTTGGATGTGCAAGATTCTGAAAACATCATGACTAGTAAATTAAATAAACAGGTGAGCTTTATTATTATTATTTTTTCAACTCGTTGCTTGTCACACTGCAATAACTATTTCTCTAAATTTTGAAGATCGACGGATCTGAGTGGTCCTGGAATAATTTGAATAAGCTTTGCTGGGCAATTGGCTCCATCTCTGGCGCAATGAGTAAGATAATTTAAAAAAGAATGTTTTAGAAAAAAATTTTTTGAAGGGGTTTGTTTTTTATTTTTTCTACAATCCCATACTCAAACTTATAGGCGAAGATACGGAAAAAAGGTTCTTGGTAACAGTAATCAAGGAGCTCTTGGGGCTTTGTGAACAAAAGCGTGGAAAAGATAACAAAGCCGTCGTTGCTTCTAATATCATGTATACTGTTGGTCAATATCCACGTTTTCTAAAAGCCCATTGGAAGTTTTTGAAAACCGTAGTCAATAAACTCTTCGAATTCATGCACGAAACGCACGAAGGTATTTCGTCGATGCATAATTTGATTAGTATATTCGTCGACTATAGGCTTTGCCGATTCTAACAACCATTATTTAATAGGTGTCCAAGATATGGCATGTGACACTTTCATTAAGATTGCACAGAAATGTCGTCGCCAATTTGTTACTCAGCAACAGGGTGAGAGCTGTCCCTTCGTAGAAGAGATACTTGCCACCATCGATAACATCACAAAGGATCTGACCCCACAGCAGGCATCGTTTTCTTTTTCTTTTGCTTTGTTCTTTCGCGAAACCATCCTTTTTAATTGTGGATACATATTAACACATACTACATATTTTATTATTATTATTTTTTTTTTTTACCTTAGGTCCAGACTTTTTATGAGGCTGTCGGTTACATGATTTCAGCACAATCTAACAAAAGTATTCAAGAACGTCTCGTTATGTTGTACATGGAACAACCTAATGCAGCAGTATGATTGATATATATATATATATATATAATTTTTTTATATTCTACTTATATTGTGTTCGTAATTAATGTTGTGATATATGATATTTGGATTTAGTGGGACAGCACGTTGGCACAAGTGACCCAGAGCTTGGATGCTCTCAATGTTACTGAAAACACAAAGCTTCTTGGTCACGTTCTCCGAACAAACGTGGCCGCTTGTAATGCTGTTGGTAGTGGGTTTTCTGTTCAGATCGCTCGTATTTACGTAGCATTATTGGAGTTATATAAAGCAGTCAGTCAACTTATATCGGATAGCGTCGCTCGAGATGGTATTTATGTTTGCAGAATCTTTCATTATTTATAATTTTAAATTTACCATTTTTTGTAATATTCGTTTAAGGCCTGATCGCTACAAAAACGCCACGTGTGCGTAATTTGAGAGTAACTAAGAAAGAAACATTAAAATTGATGGAGACATATATAACTAAAGCAGAGGAAACAAGTCAAATCATTACACATCTAATGCCTCCCTTACTATCAGCTGTTCTCATTGATTATAATACTAATGTGGAACAAGCGAGGGATGCAGAGGTGCTGAGTTCGATGGCCTCTATAATCTCAAAATTAGGGGTAAATATAAGTTTTTTATTCATTCCATAATATTTTATTTATAATCATATTTTTAATTGTTTGCTTTTTATCAAGGCTGGGATTACGAAAGAAGTTCCAGCAATTCTTAATGCTGTTTTTGAATGTACTCTAAATATGATTAACAAAGACTTTTCTGAATACCCTGAGCATCGTGTTGGATTCTTTAAATTGCTTCGGGCCATTAATCAGCACTGTTTTCCTGGTAACTAGGAGTCGACCTAAATTTTACTAAGACTTCCTAAAAATATACATTATTCACATACTAAATGGGGAATTCCTTTTCAGCTTTACTAACTTTACCACCGGCACAGTTTAAGCTCATTATGGACAGCATTGTTTGGGCCTTCAAACATACAATGCGTGATATTGCTGAAACAGGACTTAATATCTGCTTAGAATTATTGAATAACATATCATTACAAGATACAACAACTGCAAATTTGTTTTATCAGCAATATTTCCTTAACCTTCTGCAAGACGTATTCTTCGTATTGACTGACACAGATCATAAAAGTGGTATGTTCTACGGGTGTAATTTATAAATTCGTGGGATTATGGGATACTCTATTCACTAATATTTATTATTATCTATCTTCGTAAACGAAAGGATTCAAAATGCAATGCAGTGTTCTTCAACGGATGTTTACCCTTGTGGAATCTGGTGCTGTGCAAGCCCCCCTGTTTAACCCCTCTGAAGTTACCGACCCGAATATGACAAATCAACGGTTTTTGAGGGAATATGTGATGAATCTTTTACAAAATGCATTTCCTCATTTACAAACGTCTGTACAATTATTTAATTCATTGTTGCATTTTTTTCTCTTTGTTATTTGGCTAATTTATATTCTAATAATTTAGTGTTCAAGTTCAAGCCTTTGTTATAGGTTTATTTGAATTGAACCAAGATTTTAACAGATTTAAACTGCATTTAAGAGACTTCCTTATTCAACTGAAGGAATTTTCCGGTGACAACGCTGATTTATATCTTGAAGAGCGGGAAGCTGAGGCTGAACTTCGAAAGAAGACCGAAATGGAAAACGCACTAAAGATTCCAGGACTCGTGAAGCCCTCTGATTTACCAATGGATGAAGAAGAATAGAAATACTTGAGGATTCGTATGGGACTTGATAATTGAATGCCCAAATTGTCAGTAGTTAACTATGTAACTGTTAGTTATTAAACGAATCACCGTTTTAGCGAAGTATTTCTTACACGGATTTGGCCTATGCAATTAATTATAATGATTCAACGGGATTATGAAATTGGTTGTATGAACCTTCCTAATAATTTGATGTGATTTCAAGTTTTGTTTGTCGTGTATCATCACCCCTTGCTCTTTGCAGTTCCGATGAGCTGAAGGGAATCTGAGACTAAAATTTGTATATTTGGCAAATTCGATCGTCATTATTTGTAATTTATATAGTATGTGGGGATTCGTTAGAATAACATTGTTTTTATTTAAAAAGAAATCGGATTATTTTAAATACGGCTATGTATATTTATTTATATATTTGTTTTTTTTTTTTGTCATTTTTCCTAAAAAAAAAGATAAATATATGGTAATATTATACTGTATAACGATGTGTTGTCGATTAAAACTAAAAGCTTGACCGAGGATATCGAAATTTTATTCGGTATATGACAAAAATAGGCAACGGAAATCGTCGACGTTTATCCCATAATGTGGTCGACAGAAAATATTCTCTTGGCTTCGCTTCGAAAAAACGTTTTCTATTGATTTCAAAATATTTTTATAATAATATAAAATATATTCTACTTTTCTTTTCTTTGAAGGTTTGTTTATAATATGAGATTGGTATAATATTTACAGTATATAGTATTGTCAATTTTGTATATTAGCTCACCTATTATTGAAGTTTACCTTCTCTATATACAATTTAGAAAATGATATTTTGTGAATTGGATTATTCTTTAATCATCAAGTTCCTTGTCTATAGTTTATTACTAGCGAAAAGGTTTTGACTATGTTCCGGGTTTAGTTATTGGAATTTTATTTTTTTTAAAAAAATTTTAATTTAAAGAAATAACCCATCTTGAACTTGGTATTCTTCTGTGTACCCGTGTGCTGTAATAACTCTATTATGTCTATCTGTTAGGGTGTCTTCTAGGATGTTGATGATTTTCCCTGAAAGTTTGATTCGTTTCAATGCCAAAGTTTTTATTCAAAAGAGTTTATAAACAAGTAAGAAAAAATAATAAAAAACACGAAGACAGTTATATTAAATATTAATTTTTTTATATTTTAGTTATTATTGAAATAGCAAAAAGATTTGGATCCATGTTTTGGATTTAGTTATTTGAATTTCTTTATCTTTAAATTTTTTATCTTTTTTATTTTTAATTTTTATATTTTTATAAAAAAAAATTTTTTTTAATATATTCTAATTATTATTAAAATAGCAAAAAAACCTAAATTATATTCTGAATTGAGTTATTAAAGTTTTAAAAATTTTTATTTGATTTTATTTTTTATTTTTTTTTATTTTTTTTTTGAGTACCCATAGCCAGGTTAGATTGTGAGTTTATTAATCAATTGAAAATATAAGTATATTTTCATTCAAGCAGCATGAGAAATACTATAGCTAAACTACTTTCATTCTATCTAACTAATTTGTTATAAGCATAAAAGCCTCTAAATTCGATCTTGAAAACAATATTTTATTTTACAATGTCTTTGGGTGAAAACCCTTCTAGTTTATTACATTATTGTTAGCAAATTGTCACTGTCATATGTCATATCAAGCCACTAGAATACAGGAAACTATAAAAAGATGGGTTGAAAAAAGGAGAAGAATATATCTAAAAATGTTCAAGTGGATGTATAAGAAAATAAAAAGAAAAAAGAAAATAAAATTTTTAACTTCCTTCAAAGACCTGTTTCTCAAGACTTCTTTTTAATAAGAAATATTTGATTGAAATATTTTTTCTTCTCCTGACCATCTAAGGAACTTATCCATTCTTGATCTTAATTTTCTTTTTGTGTACTGTCTAAGGAGACTTATTGCCTAATGGAAGTCTTTACTTTTAAGATATACTTTATTTCAACCTTCTTTGGACAGTGATTTTTTATTCACCTGCTTTGATTTTTTTTTTTATTTTTTTTTTTTAAATTACAATTGATATTAGATACAAGATTTTATTAAGAATTAATTTAATATTTGTCAAATAATTAAATTCTTTTAGTATAATATCAATTTTTTTTTTGAGTATCTATAGTTAGGCTAGATTATCAGTTTATTAATCAATTGAAAACATAAGTACATTTTTATTCAAGCAGCATGATACATATTATAGCTAAACTATTATTCTAATCTAACTCATCATAGGCATAAAAGTTTCTAAGTTCAGCCTTAAGAACAATATTTTACTTCGCAATATCTTTAGGTAAAAACTCTTATAGTCTATTGTATTATTGTCAGCAAGTTATTACTGCTATATATCTAATCAAGCTACTGGAATAGGAAACTACAAAAGAATGGGTTGAAAAAAGGAGAAAAGTAATATCTAAAAATGTTTAAATATATAACAAGAAAATAAAAAAATAAAAATTGAAAAAAAAATTTTCGGCTTTTTCCAAAATACTATTTTTCAAGATCTCTTCTTAATAAAAAATACCTGATTGAAATATCATTTCTTTTTCTGACTATTTGAGAAACTTATTAATTTTTAATTTTGATTTTCTTCTTGTATACTATTTGAAGAGACTTATCACCTAGTAGGAACCTTTATTTTCAAAATACATTTAATTCAAATCTTTTTTGAGAATGATTTTTAATCTACTTATGGTAGAGAAGTAACTTATAATAGACCCTAAATTCTTATATGACCTAATAGAAATTAGGTTCTATTATTTCATTATAATATCTTCCAGCAGTCATATCTACTTAAAGAAATTTTTCTGGTATACATCTTTCACTATTCAAAAGGCTAGATTCTCTAATAATCTTTTTGTCTTATAATGATAAGAGGGTCTTGAGAGTAATAGGAATCATCATTAATTGTAACATCCTTCAATAACTTTTAAAAAAATATATTTTTAACTGTAATCAAACAGTTGAAGTTTAATATAGACTAGAGACTATTTAATCTTATTGTTTAATAAAGATAAAAAGAAAACCTTGATCTTGAATTTTGCCTAACTAGAATGATAGGAGAGAAAGACTTTAGCTTGAACAAATAGTAGTTTTTTTACCACCTGGAGACTTGTTGTTCATATTTTATTAATTTCATGGAACTTGATCTATAGGTTAATCTAATTGAAGGAGTGAAATAGACATAAAGCACCAATCAACTCTTTTAATCATCAATAATATTATCAAAATATATAAGATAACCAGTAGGGGCTTGTTTACATTTAACTATTAATGTGTTTTGTATTAACCAATTAAATACCAGGTGATATTGTACTATCAAAAATTCAAGATCAAACTGAGATAGGCAAAATTTTCCAAGAAAACTATAAAAAACAGTAGGGAGAATCTAGGAGGATCAATAAAATTTCTTTCTTGATGTATGAATTAGATTGATTCGAATAATTTTAACTGACAACAAGCTATTTTGTAGATTGGAGTGATTGGAATTTTACAATATAGAAATATTGAAAGCAACTTAGGAACAAACAATACACCTTTGACTGATAAAGCTCTTATAATATAAAATTTTAACTCTTATAGACAATTCTAAAAATGTTTTATTAGTAATTATTTTTTGTATTTGTATTTTAACTTGACTTGAAACTTTAATAAAACAAGGTTGAGTTTCTTTTCAAAAAAAAAATATATAGTTAAAGGATTTGTTAAAATATATGAATGAATATTTAAAATCATTTCAAACATTTCAGTTAACTTATAAATAATATCGTAATAATTCATATTTCTATAATGTGATATCATCAGAAGACTTGTTGAATTAAACATATAGTTTAAAAGAAATTTCAGAACATGAATAAGTAAAAGAGACAGAAAAGGGTAAAGAATTGATAATTAAATCCAAAAGATAAAAAATTACTAAATATGAGAAATTTTTAATGTATTCAAAGAATGAGAAACAAACTGAAAAAAGTGCATTAATGGATAAAATTCGAGGGGATAGTTAAAAAGTTAGAAGAAAAAAGCAAAAAATATTGAAAAATTTTTGGCAGGGTAAAACCAATTGAGGTTAATTTTAAATGAGTTTAGTCAAAATTTTTAAAAGCACTAGTTAAAATTATATTATTTGACAGTTGAATTATTGCTGAATTTGATAAAATATAATAATAAAAGATTGATAAAACATTTTTATTGCTACTACTTGATATTAAAAATATTGACAAAAAATTAGTCAAAAAATTTCAGCATGCTATGACAAAAAAATTTGATATAAAATCTAACAATATTGTGATAAAAAATTTTTTTGCATATTGTGAAAAAAAAATTTTATACATATTGCAATAAAAAATTTGACAAAAAAATTAATATTGCAGCTAAAAATTTGATAAAAAAATTGATACTATAGTAAAAAATTTGACAAAAAAATTGATACTGAGACAAAAAATTTGACAAAAAAATTATAGCAATAAAAAATTTAGCAAAAGTTATAAATCCAATATTAAAATTCAATAAAAATTCAAAAAGTTTAACAAATTTCATGAAATTTATTAAAAAATTACAAAATCAATTGATTATATTATTTGTCACTTTTTTCTTCTTCCTCTTCCATTTGTTTTTCTTTTTTCTTTAAAGATTTCAATTGGACTCTTTTAAAACTAGCCCTAATTGGTTTTATTTTGCTAAATATTTTTTGAGATTTTTTACTTTTTTTTTTTAACCTAATTGCTTTTTGAATTTTGCTTATTTGTACACTTTCTCTAGTTTGTTTCTCACTCTTTGAATATATTAATAATTTCTCATATTCAGTAATTTTTCATTTTTTAGATTTAATTATCAATTCTTTATTTTTTTCTGTCTCTTTTTCTTGTTCACATTTTGAAATTTTTTTCAAACTCTATAACCAATTTGGATAATCTTCTGATGGTATCATATCATAAAAATATAAATCATTATGATATCATTTATGAGTCAAGTCAGCTGAAATATTTGA